AAAAAAAAAAAAAAAAAAAAAAAAAAAAAACTTGTAAGCGACCAGTTGACAAAATACTGTAAATCGACCGTGCAGTTGCAAGTGGTATGCTACTGGTTATAGCAACCTACTGACAACCAAGCAGAGACCGTTTAGCTATCTTTAGGATACCGATATTTTTCATCTTTAGTCGAACTGCTTGTCGGTGCACAAAAAATGGCCTTCATGTGTCAACGATCGCAGGCGACCTGTTAGCAACCTTTTGCGATCACTGAGGTTGCAAAGAGGTTGCCAAAAGGTTGCAAGCGCAGTCTGACCCAAGGCTTTAAGAAACCTCGATATCGGTTTGCGAACGCTTGGTTTTGAGAATGACGCTCATTCATAATCGGGATCAATGCACAAGATGCAATATGACCTGTTGTCGTTGGGATGGTTTACAGTAAAAAGGGATAATACAGTAGATACAAAATGCCTTGTAGATATTTCTAATTTATTTGCAATGGCTGGTTAATTGAAAACACGTGCATTTTTGAAGAACTTATAGTTCTCAATTTTTGGTACGGTATACGTTGCCTTAGACGCAAAGTATATCCCATTTATATCTGCCTCAGATATCAGATGCTGTAGTGTGGACATTGTGCAGTAATTTATTTTTCGACTGCTAATCCTTTCTGCCGACAGATTTCCCATTGTTATACATTTTGAGTGTTTCGTCAAATGGTATGTCCGGGTATGTGATTACATATTGTCTTTTCTGTACTGTTTAAATTGGTTGCTTTTTGGATGTTTAGTAACACTCAGTATTGGTAGGCTCAGGCAGTGATAGCACCCTACGATGTAAATAAACATGCATTTCTTACAACTTTATTCATAGTATTTATAATACCTTTTTAGGTAATAATGGAGAATGTACCTTTTTTCATAATTTCAGTTTATATAAGCATTGAATGACGAATGGTTGGATGATAAATATGTATAACAATTTACTACTTTAGTAGCCATTGTTCAAAAGGTGTCTTTGTTAGGCGCTGTTTTCGAAACAGCATCATAAATATTCATCGGCATCGGGACATTTTCATATGCTCATCTGTAAAAGAGTAGGTGCAGTTAAAAAGCCTTGTCTTGTTTTTCAGACAAAAACCGATGATGACCAAAAGATGTGCTGGAACTCACACAAAGAAACCATGTACGTTATCTCTCTCTCTCTCTCTCTCTCTCTCTCTCTCTCTCTCTCTCACACACACACACACACACACACACACATAAACGCAACCACACACATACACAATATTGTAAAAAAGTTAACGCCGCATTCCTGGTTGCAATATGCCCCGTGTACCACAACACGCAGCCATACAAGGAGTCCCAGTGTTCCGTTCTACTTATACAGAATGTCCCCTTACTTACCCTCCGGGTCGCTGCGGGTTGTACGGACGGCCTGGCTCGGTAACTATGGAAATAACATTGTCATCCATACGCTGTTTGGTTTCTGTTAACAATAGTTCCATACCCTGCCCGTCGGGCAATTATCGTGACAGACTTTCTGCTAACAAAAGAGCCTAACCCTAGCTCGCTGAGATAAAGATCGAAGGTGAGCGTGGTCGCAATTAAGTGTTCGTCCAATCGTTAATTGACCTTTAATGCGCGGTGGCTTCACTCTACTTTGATCACTCTACTCTGATACGGAGATTTTAAGTATAAGAACTTGCCAACAGTGATTTTTAAAAGTCGCTTTACCAAAAAGATTCGGTGATGACAGCAATTTTCGTGTACATTGTAACTATGAATTGACTGAATTTACATAGAGTTTAATAAATTAATTTATGAATTTATTAAAGATCAAATAAAACACTACTCGTACTTGTACATGTAATATTTATTAGGCTTCAAACTGTCTTTACTATATACATATTATTAACAAGATTGAAATTCATTTTTATAGTATGTCCTTATATTTCTATTAGCTTTGTTCATAGACGAAATGCATTTTTCCACAAAAGACTTGTCAGTTGTTTCAGTGATAAACATTTTGTTAGCCATATCTTTAATATAGTTCAGTCTATATTTGCATATAGGATCTCTCCCATCTACACCCGTAACATTTCTGTCCTTTCGTATTCGTTCATCAATCGTAAACAACCTTCCCATCAACTGAACGCAAAAGATTCCTCTTCACACCCAGGCCACAGAAAGAAAACCGTAGCGTCTTTCTGAACTTTCTGTGAACAACGAAGTCTGGCAGATTCTATTACGGTGAGCTCCCCTGATGACCACTGCACGATGCAGTATTTATAATGTTTTGTCTCTTGTCTTGTCGCCATGATGATGTACTGTGTGATTTTAGCACATGCAGCGTGAAGAGTGTGTAGACCAAGGGAAGTCCAGGACAATATATACCAGAACGCAAGAAGCCATTGAGCACTATCCTTTTTGTCCTACACATAAAAGAAAGAAGCCAATGAACAATTTCTATTTTGTCGTACAGGGGTCCAGTCCAGGTGTGCATGAATTACTTAATGATGCCGGCATGCTTCCAAATTGCTTGCTTTTAAAATTAGCTTAAAGTTTAAATTGACCTTAATTATTGTAAGAGTACCGTTGGAATACTCAGAATGCGCTTGAATTCGCCTGGAATGATAAGTGCACTTTCGTCTGTTTTAGCTCTCAAATACAGTTCGAATGTGTTTGGAAAACTAGGAATATCTATAATGCTGTCAGAAGGCAACTGTTTCTCTATCATTGTTTGATATGTAATTCAAAACGATAGGAATAGTTCATCTTTACGATCTAAAGCCCAAACTTAACCAAAAGCCTTCTTCATACTTAAAAGCATCAAAAGAAATTAATTTAAAAAGCTGGATTACAATCTCTCGGGCTAACTTCACTGGTTGGCACGTGTCATCTCACATTAATTAACAATCAGTTCAGATTAGCTTTATTCATGCTGGGTAAACACAGTGATTAAGCCCTGAGTATTACATAATCACGACTGTGTGACACGCGTCGTCTAAAATTAATGTTAACATTGCGATGACGCTCTTCAATCCAAACTAATCAATTGCACATAATTCTAAATCAACTGACACGTGTCAACAGGATTGTTTGTGTATCTGGACTTCCTAAATGGCCAAGAAGTATTCTGTATAATATGACATGTTTATGTCACTGATTTCTGTGCCATCGTGTCACCTGCCAAGTGAACGGTATAAATCGACACTCAGATTTTCCAAATCATCACAATTCCAGGATGCCTCTTAGCGATTACGTGCGTCTGCGTATCATAACCCTCCGAGAACAAGGGGTGCGAATTAAAAACATAACCGCACAAGTGGAAAATGAAGGCCATAAAGTGTCGCGACAAGCCATTTACTATGTGTTAAAGAAATACGATGAAGGGCTTGGTATTGCAGATAAGCCACGAAGTGGACGTCCCTCAAAGGTTGACCTGCGCCACATGAACGTTAAAGACGAGGAGATGACCAAGCATCAAGCATCAAGCATTTTTAACAGAATAAATGTACGACCCTTCAATAAAGTGTTCTCTTTGTAACACATTATTTTCAATAATTCAAAACAGATAAGTGTAATAAATATATTAATCACCTAAAGAAGGTGATTCCAGCGGTAATTAAGAGAGAAGGTCGTGCATCAGGCTACTAAACTAGCAACACATGTAATAAAGGTAATGAGACATTGATATTTATTTGATGTATTAGCTATTTAAAATTTTCCATTTTAACTACGCTTTTGTTGATCGTGACTTATTATCATCAAATAAAATTGTTATACATGTTTTAAAACTAAGCCTGATTTGTTCTTCAGAGTTTTGTTCTAATATTCGACTTGCCTTTACTCGAGTCTTCTGTTGCAGTTGATACATAACCCGGTATTGTTTGCTCGTGTCGATAGCAATCTCTTTGCATCAGCTATAATAGAAACCTTAAGTGAGGCAATTAAGAAGGGGCAGACCGTGTTCGTTGAACCGACTAATTTGGGTGTCCGATAAGGATTGCTTGGGGATTCCCCTACCCTGTAATTATCATACGGCCTCTATTGTTCGACCATATGGGGCAGGGTTGGGAAACCATACGGCCATTTGGTAAGGGGACATTCCGGCGGCACTGTAACACCTATCTTAGTTCTGTGCCCTCCACTTGTGTGATAGCTTACTCAACTGGAAATTCAGTAAGAATATAATAAACATTTTAATCTGCAGTGCTATTGGCAGAGTGTCGGTATATGTTTTAAATCATACTTTATCACTATAAGCATAACTTATAGAACCGAGTTTGTGGCAGTTTTGTAGACCTTATAATTTCAGTGTTAGAACTAGATTCCCACTTTCAATATTTTCAAACAAAAATACCAGGACAAAAACAAACACGACTTATATACTCATTACACATATAACTCCACACACTTAGCTATTAATAAATGTGTACGTTCAAAAATGCCAACAAGTCTTAAAGTTTAAAGGGATAATAACTCTTCGTTGTGGACAAAAAATGAATTTTCCTGGAGTAAACAACAATTTTTCTCATACTGACCAATGGTTAATGAATCCATTTTTTACATTCCTTGTTTTTTTTTTCATAATCTCTTAAGATATTATAACAGAGTATAGCCATCAATGGAGCTCAGATATCAGAATAATAGCTGTAACTGCCGTTTTTGTTGTGAAACGGAATATATTCTATTTCTTTGAGTTGTTTACAATGTTTTTATTGTGAAACATAGATCTCATTCGAAGAGTTATTATCCCTTTAATGAAAAAAATCAATTTAGTGAATTAAAAGTAATTTTCCCCATGGTATTTTTGCCAATTTGTTTAGATATATCAGTATATGTATTGATTTTATTCCATTCCAGCCGTGTGCCGTGACGAGTACTTGCCAGGGGGGTCTTTTACACAGAAAGTCCCAATAAAAGGAAAGGGTTATCATGGACAGACAGCTGGGTTGGTTGATAACATATCTTCTATAGTCATGTGCCAAGTGTGCATAGTGTTCAAATGTGATCTTATTAAGAGAAAAAAACGAATTCTTTTTACAATCGGCTTAGGGTATTGGGACAATCTTAATAAAAGAATGCAGAACAAACTTTATTTGAACACACCACATTTTGTGTGTATTACCTTAACCCATCACTTCAGGTGGCCAACATTTCATATTTCATCGTCGCTTGGTAATTAACACTTTTCAGATACAGAATTGAAACTGTCACCTACGGACCGAGTAAAAAGCTGTACTTCGCTTACTCTGAAGACGAGACATGTTACTGGCAGTGTCACGTTCGGCCCGTGGCTATCCTCAGACCTTGTCCCCTGGGGACGGTGTTCAAGGAGGAGCTACAGGCCTGCGTGTAGTTAGAATATACGATGTAAGTAACACTATGTAAAAATGCGCACCATAGTCAATCTGGTCCTTTGAAGAAAGTATCAAGGGGTTGGACAGAGCATACTTAATAATATATATATATACGCATGGAGTGTATTCATATCTTGTCTTTTGCTTCATCCCAAATGTGTACATACAATATAGCGCATGTGCTGAGTTTACTTATGGACCTATTTTAGTGTTAACTAACGAACCATATGTCTGCTTTAGCTTTCTTGTTAACCCGTTTTTCTCGTTTTAATTTTTTAGGAAAATGCAGCTCCCGACCTCAATTTGCGCAGTAGATTCCTTGGCATCGAGCTAAAGTTAAATAGCTCAACAGGATGACTTTAACGCCAGCTTATAGCAGTTTCAGCTTTAATCCACTTCCGGTACCATAGAACCACCCAGGTTGCTTCACGTGTTGCGTAGACTTCAAAAGCAGTATCCCCGATATGTAACAGCGATTGCAATTCATACGAACTTCCACGGGCGATAGAAAACACTCATTCTTAATTAACCTGATTTGTCGATTTTTGAATAGTTTCATCCAAGATTTACATTGTAATCCATACAATACAGGCGTGATTTTTGGAACAAAGCGATGACTTGAAATCAGTTCAATGTATACATAAAATCATCACTTTTGTAAGTGTTTATTGTTGTTTACAATCGTTCTTATTTTGATGGAAAATTATATGTGTAGTAAGTAGAGAATTTAAGAAAATTAAGAGTACAAGACAATCGTTCCTACTTTTAAGACAGCAAGTTTTGGAATTTATTAACAGAATTTGAAAAGCAGCACGATAAATAACCTATAGTTTGAAATGATAATTATTTACTGATTTCTCTTGCAATGTATTTATGCAGGTTGTATTGGAATAAAATCACTTGTTGCATTTAATGCTGACCTAGAAATCTGCACAGGACCTCTATGGAGTGGGCGTATTAACTTCTTCGGTCCTAAATCATTCCTTTGCTCAAAAAGCTCATCATAATCCTCCTTGTAGTTTTTAAACAATCTGGTATTTTGTGTAAAATTTGAGGTAGTCAGCAGCCGCCATATTGTCACTAATTTTTGCAGGAAAGCGCTATAACAGCATGTTTTCTTCACTCCTCTTAAGCCCCCGTCACACTTATTCGGAATCAGCAGGAATCAAGCAGAATGAGCCCGAATGAAGACATTTTAAAATTCGCACCACATTCGGCAAAAAAGTTCAAACTGACCTTAATTCTTTTAAGAGTACAGTTGGAATACTCTGAATGCGCTTGAATTCGCATGGAATGATCAGTACACTTTCGGCTGTATTAGCTCTCAAATGCAGTTCAAATGTAGTTGGAAAACTAGGAATATCTATAATGCTGTCAGAAGGCAGTCAATAATTTTCTTCTTGGAATGAACTTCGAAAGTTTTTTACATTCGGGCCGACCACAAGAATGGGTAAAACTATTTGAAATGCACTCGGAAATTTTAGAATGCTCTTTGAATATCCAGGAACGCACAAAGAATTGTATTTCCGACGGCATTCTTGCTCATTCTGCCTCTAGTGTGACGGGGGTATTACATGTTATCATTCCAGAAAATAGCTCAAATAAGGGGCAAAAAAGATATCTAAATAAACGTCTTAACCATTTTATAAATAACTGCTCAAAGAAGAAAAAAACGATATTTCTAAGATACGCATATATGCGGTTCTGAGCCAGGTTTGGGGTAAGAGAGATATGAACTGTATATGTGGGGTTAACGCCTGTAAACGAAGAGGCGAGCTGGTGTCGGAAAAAGGTTTATGACAGAGCTTTTGTTCCTAAATTTTTTCTCTAATCCCCATTTTTTTTTGTTATCAAGGAAGATCGGTGTGTAATTGGAATCACACTAGACAGTCACATGTCTCACGTGTTAACGTTTTATCAAGTGAGATTTCACGAGAAATAATGATAGCACTCATAATAGTTATTTTCGTTGTTTTTCCTACATTAACAGTCTTTTTGTCACAGGCTTTTGCACAGCAGTACTTATGAACTGTGGTTTGTGTCTTACTTTTGTTCTGCTTTGTGAAGTTTTTTACTCGGCGGACATAGTTCCTTCATTGTTGTCAAAGATTTGCGCCACCTCACATTATATATTAGATGCTCGCTCTTTTTAGTCTTGCATTACAGGCAATGCCTCTTTTTTATTCTATATCATCATTTCCTTTGATTACTTCCTTTTAACACAACCAACAGCGACAAGTTGAATATAATGGTAAAGAAACATTTGGTTTAATTTACACTTGCATTACACTGGAAGACACATTGCAAATTTTGATAAGCGTTCCATTTGAATTTAAAAAAGCGTCTCTCTGTTCAATTAATAATATCGATGAACTGATAAGCTTGTGCCGTTTATCCATTTCTGACTTGATGTCATTGTGGTAGCATTAATCCATTTGTCGCTCTAAATCTACGTCTCAACTATCACACTTGTAGCTATCGCCTTTTTCCCAATTGGATGCAATTCAGCTAGAAAACTAGTTAGGAAGTAACATTTGAGGTAGTAAAAGATGGGGGATATAACCACAACAAAATACCACATTGCTCGGATGCTATTAACAGTAAATGGCCAAAATGTGGGTGTTTTTCTGAATTTGTCAGTATTAAATAGATGAAATATCAACTACATATCAGCCTACCTTAAAATAATGGAAGTGTACAAATAAACCCGTAATTTTAGCTGATTTACCCCTGTGGTAGCGTGTCTGAGTTTTAAAGTAGGTAACACTTGTCCATATATGTGTTTGATTGGCAGCTCCACTGTGCAGCTGTATATTTCCCGTACTTGATTGCTGCTAAGCCTTTCACATTCTGTGAGTAACATCCCGCTTTCACTTGCCAAACAATACTTTTCATTTTGAATTTATCAGTTAATTTAATTCTGAAGATCTACTAAAGCTCTAAAAAGCAGAGATGAGACGTATATGGGCAAAGGCACTCCCCCTAGGTGTCACGTGGTTAAGAAGGCTGACGTCACGACTAACATGGTTGCTGCTGTCAATGCATGGAGGGGGCCTCCGGTTGAAAATGTTCAATAATAATGTTGAAAATGGATGAAAGACATAGTGACAGTTACATAGGCAGTGAGTAGAGGGCTGAACCAGTATAAATAACTAAATTTCTCAGCTTGCCAATGCAGCTCACTGATTATATAACGCTGGAATCTCCGGGGAGCACTAAAAGGCTGATTTCTCCGCTTCAGTTTATGGCTTCAAGAGAACGATTTAGACAAGTGTCAAAATTAATTAGAACTCTCAACCGATGAAAGCTGGCATGCATTCGTTAGATCTAAGGTTTGTCTGAAAATGTGTGTCTGGGATTTCATAACATCAGCTCTGTTTTCAACTTACGTGTGCTTTAGTAAGGCTAGGGGATTGCGTTGAACTGGAAAACGGGTTTATTTTGATATCTCTGCTCATTTAACACATATCGCTAATTTCAGGCGCATTCTTGTTGATCCCAGTGAGGGCTCACGAGTCAAGCTGTCTACACATGTCCATTTGTAGTGGACTTCTAGTTTTTAAGGTGTAAAGATCATGTTGAGCACACTTATTAAGCATAATATCTCATAGCGTAACGATTACATAATAAAATAAGGATATGAAATGAAAAGCTGTTGAAATAAGCTTTCTATTGATATGTAACATGTTGGTATATCTTGGCCGGTTTAGAAGAGCTACCCCTGTTAATTGCTACCTTAAAACGGGGTGATCGGGCGTAAAGGCCAAAATCACGTTCTTGAAGTTGGACATCAAATGGCTGTGGTGTTGGCCAGTGACATATCATTGCATAAACTTATAACTGCATAGTAGCCGGTAGTAGTACCCCTCTCTCGGCACGCCTTTTCTGTGTGCTTGCAATAAGCGCGTGCGTATTTAACCTTCTGCCTCCGACATCTACACATGCATGCTTGGTTGCATCTTTTTGTCAGAATTGAGGGTTTGCATCACCTTACTTCAGAATTTTTTTCCTTAGAATCCGATTGGGCCTCATTTTGTCAGTGTGTCAGGTGCACCCACCTTGTTTAAAGCCTCACGGAAGTTTTTTAAATCTCTCAAAATGAATCAAGGTAAGTTCTTAAGATTTGTGTCAGATTTGTGTACGTGCCTCAAACTTAGTGGGGAATTTAATACAGGGCATCTCAGACCCTCGAACTCCGCCGGGTATTGTGCATAATATACACTTTTTTTCTTCAAGTTGCAAGATACGTTGGTTACCATCGATTGGGTTTCATTTTGTCAGTGTGTCAGGTGCACCCACCTTGTTGAAAGCCCCAGGGATGTTTTAAAAAATCTCTCAAAATGAATCAAGGTAAGTTCTTAAGATTTGTGTCAGATTTGTGTACGTGCCTCAAACTTAGTGGGGAATTTAAAACAGGGCATCTCAGACCATCGAACGCCACCTGGTATTGTGCACAATATACACGTTTTTTTCCCGTCAAGTTGCAAGGTACGTTGGTTACCATCGAGGCTGCTAAGGTAATAACAACATCAAGGGTTTAAACGTTTTTGAAGTCTCAATTATAAATTTGAAAATGGAAAAATTAGCAAGAAAATATTTGGTAAATATGACTGAGCGATATTTTAAATGTGAGCAAATATTTAGGTAAAGATATGATGAACAGAATGAGTGAGTACTTGTTCTTTTATCCTAAGCATATTTTCTTACTTAGTAAACTTGGTGTGAATTAATCATTTTTTTTTGTGTGTTCTCGCACAATTTGTTATAAAAAATGTGTGTAATGAAAGAAAAAAGACAAAGCTGTTCGATCACCATTTTTATTTCCCTCTTTTCACAATATCTTCCAAGATTTCTACGCTAAAAATAACCCAAAACAAACAATTAAAATGAAAAGAACCCCCAATAAATATTAAATATTATTAACATGTTCCCAGATTGCTATATTGAAATATACCAAAACTCACAATTATAGTAATTAACATACCACCAATTAACATGAAATTTTAACATGTTCCCGGATTACTACAGGTACATCCAAAAACAGAATTAAAGTAAAGAAGGACTCCAATTAACATGATGTTTGCATAAATTTTAAAAGATTGTTACATCGAAATATAAATATTCCAAAACACACAATTAAAATAAAATTTAATTTAAATATGATTCCTGTGACTTTTTACTTGTACTGTCCCTCTAATTACACAACACGATGCAGTAATAGTATTTGAACAAAATATTCTAAAGCATCATCGCTATTTTTAAATTATTTTCCAAATTGTTAATGTGAATTAGCTACAAGTTCTTTTTTGTTTTCATTTCACTGAAGTCTAAACAAACGAGATAAGTCGTCATCACCTTGGTGAGAAAAAAAAAAAAACACTAACAGATTAAAGTGAATGAATGATAACCACATAAGTCTGTTGAATAGTTCCAAGTAATAATAATGCAGCACATTTGGTATGCAGATATATGAAAAAAATCAATTAAAGTATATGCAGCATGTTATCTAAAAGCAAAGCGCAGTTTTCATTCAAGCTGTCAATTATAACAGTTTAGTTGAAGGCAATTTATCTTTCTGTCTGCCGGACACTCAGTTTTAAAGCATAGGGTCCGCCGGACTCTGAACGGGCCGGACCATACGGCACGCTACACCGGGAACCGCACATATGCGGTTCATTTTAAAAAAAGTCCTCAGTGCCGGGAAATTGTTAGAAAATTCAGACTTTGGGGAAGAGTCCTTGAAAGATTTTGATACTCTGATAACAGGCCTACCCAACTACCAGACTCGGCACCTAAGGATCCAGAATTAACCGGTATATCAGACCACACTTCCCGTTTTCAAGGTGTGTGTCAGATCGCATTTCGGAGTATCAGCCAGAACACCGATAGGATGAGCCCTGGCATGCTCGGCTGTCACCTTGATTGGATAGTAAACGATTGTCGTAAAATCGCTTTATGATTTTAAAACCGGGTGCATTAATTTGAAAGCCACCTAGATGAACCTTAGACTGCCACATTAATCTAATACAATGCAAAAAAGCCCTATCAAAAGTGGTTAAATGATTCAAACCGAATGTCATAAAGTCCCCATATATCCCCATAGAGACAATAAAATAGAGTACTCTAAAGTAAGAGTACAGTTTAAGGTTGTTCAGCCGAGCGTGGATGAGCCCGCAGTCGTGCTACAAAATTTGTTCTTAGGTATGATACTCCGAAATGCGATCTGACACACACCTTGAAAACGGGTAGCGTGGTCCGATATACCGGTTAATTCTGGGCCCTTTGGTGCCGAGTCTGGTAGTTGGGAAGGCCTGGATAACGTCAAAGATGATGTACCTTTGGCTAGTATGAGTTGTCAGAGAGCAGATTCGGACGTGGGCCTTGATTTATGAAAAACGCTGATGATACTAACGGCAGTAACCAAGCAGACGACAATAATGATTAGAATGCCTATATTGCTGATAAAATGACTGTAACCGTTTCCGTGGCAAATCAGGCTAAATGTTGCCTTGTGTGCTACATCAACATGTCTTTTCCTGTTTGTGCATAAATACAAATGTCGTGTGTTACGTTGTACTGCATCAGCATGTCTTTTCCTGCTTATGTATAAGTACAAATGACATATGTTTACTTGTGTGCTGCATCAACATATGTCTTTTCCTGCTTGTGTATAAATACAGATGTAATATGTTTACTATATAATATGTATTAGTACAAGTGCCACGTTTACTTGTATTTTTATGATGCAATTTTTATTCGCGAAAGTGTAATATTTGCTCATGTCAATGTTTGTATTCTTGTATATGATTTAAGTGCAAAACAAAATTTTATGGGTATCCTGGTTCATTTGATAAAAAAGAACTATGAAAAACTATTGAAAAGGGCACTTAATTTACAATCTATTCGTAATTATAGAAGTAATTAGGTGGAAGTCTTCTAGTCAGCTAGCCTGCGTGTAAATTGTGCAACTGCCGTGATGCAGGTTTTTAAGCACAGTACGCATCCCAGGAAATTCATTATAACTCAAAAACTAAATAAGATATCTTTCTGAAATTTTCTGGCATTGTTTAAAACATATTTCGAATGTTTATCAGAAAATTTCAACAAATTATTTGTTAAAGTGAAAAAGAATGTGCATGCTGAAATTGAAATTTTGTTTTTTACTTCTCTTCGAGAAAAGCAAGTCTCATATTTAAATTCCTGCTATTTCTACCTAAATTACCAAATGTGAACAAAAATGATATGACTTTAAAGTTTACATTCTTGGCTTTATAAAAATGTACAGTTCATAGGTGTTTTCTGGGCAAGTGAATTCATTATCATTGATTAAATGAGGCCGCCTGTAAAATTGAGTGCATCCGGGTAGAGGGCTCAGGACCAAGGGCACTTTCTAGGTCAGATGCTGTCAGGCTCTATGGGGCTAGACACTGACATGGGGGGGGGGGGGGCTTTGTGGGGCGTGTAACTATTTTAAAGTCAACAATTAGGAAAATATGGAGATCCAAAATATCGCTTTCAATTGTTGTCGTATGACTTAAAATAGGCAATGCATTTTTGTTTGCTTCACTGACGAATTCAATTAATGAACTGCTGTCACAGAAGACATCGAAGAGATTATCAAAAGTTATTAAAACACGTTTTTAATCCTTATTTTCATTAATCAGTCAGCAAAATAGGAAAAAATACTGAGGAGTTATGTTTTTGAAAAATATTCCATATTAAATGTCAAGTCTGTATATCATCCCAAGGATGTTTATGACAGGTGTAAATAAAGGTTGTCCGAATGTCCTTTTTGAAATGAATTAGATTAACAGAACGTAGAACATAGGTGAGTGCAGTCAAAAAAAAAGTGTCTGCAATGTCATATCATAGTTTTAGCTTACTGTCAATGTGCATTCGAGCGCGATCTATATTTTGCTAACAGGTACGTACATGGGTGGGGTAACCTTGTGGGTGGGGTAACCAAATAGTTACTTACATTTTTTCACTTGAAAAAACCATGGGACCCCGGTTCACGAACGAAGCTACCGTAGTATTTGCCAACCTTTAATCTACACAACAGATAACACTACGTTAAAACAATAGACTTTCTAAGAGTTTTCAAGTATACTAGGAGGTATCATGACTAGACGACCCCAACTGCTTATGATCACGTTCACGTTGTTTTATAGATAAAATCAACATTAAGTATTTACATAAAAAAAAATTCCCAAATCCCTTTTGTAGTACTTTGTTCAAGTGCTATTATACCATTAAATCACGTTTAGAGCTTGTCAGGTGCCTGAGATAATCAGGAAACCGAAAATGATGTTTTTGCCCCAAAAATTCAAATATTACGTCACACAATGAACTTGGAGCTGTGTTTCAAGCATAATTAGTTGTTTTGAAAATACATTTAATAATTAATTGCAACAGGAATAAAAAAGCTAAAACCTTTCATTTAAGGTAAAATCTCCAACCTACAGTCCTACCTTAACACCTTATCAATCAGATTGCTAATTGATAAAAAGAAGAGATGCACACGTAACACAATAACAAGTATAACATTAAAATATGTCTGCCACATGGTTTAATGACTGTGCCCCTGAACAATATACTGCTGGGGGAGGGCGCTGGGTAACCCGTTGGAAAAAAAATAAAAACTAGCTCCTTTGGCTGTCGTGTTTAAAAATCGGGGTGCGTGTGTGTGTGTGTGTGTGTGGAGGTTATCCCTTATCCCCACCCCCTGACAATGATTGCCTCACCAAAGTAGGTAAATCGTTTTTTTTTTTTTTTTGTCGTTCTGTCCGGTTTAACTGGGGATGAAAGGGGATTCTAGCTTACTATATTTACATTCAGCCTTTAACGAGTGTGGTGCATCTTAATCAGGTTAAACAATTTTTTCTAACCATTTTTTCATTTGCCAGTCGTAATTGTCCATATTTGGAAACAGAATCAGACATGAACACTGCGGTGGGTGTGGTCGTGGGGGGGGGGGGGCAGGGGTGGATATGAATAAGAGACCCCGCAGCAAGGTAAAATGAACTATTCATGAAAACCTTATGATAAAAAGGCGGGGTCATGGGAATTATAAATGACAGCTTTCAGATGTCAGTTAAGGGAGTGGTCGCCACAATCTCCCTTCACCCTCCCCCCCCCCCCACATCCCGTTAGGGGGTCACAGCTAGCTTACACAAGCTCCGTGATGTAAAGTGAAGTGCGCTGGAAAGCATGCATCGATTGATACCCATGTAATACATTTCTTACTAGAGCAAAGGACAAACAAAAATGAAGATATTTCATATTAAATGCTTTATTTGTATAGCTTTATATTGCGTGCTTAGCGAAAACACATTATTGGTACGCATATAATTTAGTTACAATATAATTTGACCTGCAGATAAACCCGCGAGTAAAATCTGAATGCTTTGTTTATTGGCCCAATAGTAAAAAGGTATACAACGAAATGAAACGAGCCAAGAGAGCAAATAATTTAAATAAATAAAGTCAAGTGTCTTCAGTTAGATTCGTCTCCTCTTCTATGTCGTCGAGTTTGTTGGCTGGTCTCATCCGTTCTCCATTCTGGCGCGAGATCTCGTGTTGTAAGCTTGAGTTGTTGCGTAAGCATTAGCGTCTCTAGATTTAAATGTGTTCGTTTCACCATCCGTCCTCTGCTAGGCCGCGGACCGGTTGCACTGAAATAATGAAATATTGAAAGTTTAAATGGAATGTTAAATAAAGTGTGGTAAATCCTGATGGAGTAAGAATTTGTAATGACTTCTTCTGTCCAAAAACGAGCGTTTTTTTTTTTCCTTTTTTTTTTTTTCTTTTTACTAGACGACTCTATAAAACGTGTATACTTATATGAGTAAAGGGGAATAGCTAATAAGATAAATCGTGAAACTGGAAATTTCTGGTGTTTAAAGTGATGTCGAGGCAAATGTGCAAGACAATGCTTTCTTCATGTCTATATATGCATTGCCAAACCAGATACAAAGAGTCAAATGCATCACCATCAACATGACACACGTTAAGACCAGTTTATGAAGGAAACGATACTGTAGAAATACATAGTGTATTTCACAACAATGGTGGGAGTCATCCACGCTCCGCGATCGTTAAAAATATGCTCACACGAAAACATTGTGTTCACTCGGAAGTAACACAACGATTAGACCCCCGCGCCAGTCGAGACCAACCTTAAAGCTCGTGCAAGGCCAGAGGGGGCTATTAAAACGCCGTGCTTCCAAAACTATATGCTCGTAAAGCTGCCTTTTATTGCCAACCAAACGACTTCCTTTGGCTCGCTGCGATATTAGATTAGATGTAGGTCAAACGTGGTATGAATTGCAACAGAGCAACAAAGAGCCGCACACCATTGATGACAGTGTTGTAAAACATTTGGAGATGTCCCTTTGGTTTGGTTCAGAATACTAAGTGAAAAGGATCATAAAGCATAAGGCAGGGATAAAATACATGGTGGAATACACTGAGACATTTGACAAAAGGTTTCCTCTAGTTAGGACGTTTGGTTTTTTCGCTGTTTGCACACCTCGACGACTACAATAAGTATCTGCTGACTAATCTGTGCCGCTTGGTGAATAGCTTTTACATTAACAGCTTACTGGCGGTGAAATATGTATGAAACACTGGACTGATCTCAGCGTTTCTGACATGCTACTAGATTTGTCTGGTTGCTGACAAAACCGACTATGTACAAGTAAGCCGTATACATAGATAGACAAACATGTGCACATTGTCCTTGCTAAAGAAGTGGCATTTTATTCTGGACCACTAACCTACACGGGAAGCCCAACTTTGAGACAATAAACGAGGTCTACTGGTAAAACTTGCATTAAATATACTGTTTCAGTCGTAAATTAAATCGGTTTCCACTTGCTTGAAAAGTTTTGGTATGGAATACACCTTTAGCAAACAGGTCTCGAAAGGATTTGCATCAATCATGTCTTTAAACACCAGTACTCGAACATTACTGTAAACATTTTGAGGGCGATGAGTAAGATCAAATTTTAATTTACCTTGTTTTATCTTTAATAATGTTTAATAAATAAACAGATGAATAAATAATTTTATTCTGATTGTCGTAACTTACCAAATCCTAGTTCCATTTACTGGCAAACGCCGTTGTACTCGTTGAAGGTGGTACCGTAGGGACATGCTCTCAGGCTGGCGTTGCCTTCAGTGTCGCACTGCCAGTAACAAGCAGGGTCGTCAGCGTATCTGAAGTAGAGTTTCTTGGAGGGACCATAGTAGACGGTTTCGTATCTGTAGCTGTGTGCAGAAAAAGAAGGATTCATTAGAATGAAAACAACATTGGCGAAGATTCAAAAAGTGTTATAAAGTTTGTTGAAGAGAATTTACACCCCGGGCCTACTTAGTAATGAAGCTTAGATGATATATTTACAAATCACGGAAGAACATTATGATAAGTTACTAGGAAGTGAAGAGCAGCCAGTTTACTTTCAGCGATAACGAGAAATCCCCCCGCCCAACTCTGCGTTTTTCAATCTCAAGTATGTTCACTTTTGATTTTCATGTTTTAGTACCGAAATCGTTTCAACTCTGTGTCACCGGAATAACTTGTTCATAACAATAATAATAATAATAATAATAATAATAATAATAATAATAAAAACATTATGCATCATCACTGACAGTGACAATTTGCAAGTATGCATTAATCTGACGTACACCTCGCTAGCAATGTCTTTAAAATAATGTCAACTGTAGCTGGTTTTATATCTGTATCCGGAGGTTTCGAAGGATATGTCCTAAGATGTGACAAATTTACCTGACTTTGTATCCATATCCGTCTTTGACATGAGTGGGCACCTTCTGGTGGTAAGAGCCGCCTGGGTTGTACTCGTTGGGGCAGTAAACTGGAATATACCAGGCAAGCACTGCGTATTATTTCTTTATATTCATCGTTTATCAATTTCGAGAAGAAACTGCAGGGTCCCGTAACTCGAAAGCATCGCGCATTGCGACCGAGCGCAAACGCCTCGATTCCATAACTCGCCTATACTCGCGCCATATAATACATTGTAGCCTCTATGTGATATCGCTATTCACAATATGTGATGCTTTCGAGTTACGGGGCCCAGCTTCCTTAAGTGTACTGATACTGTGATTTTTTAAGAACACATGCGATCACGTTGATGTGCCAATAGGGGGGGCCTATACAATGCTTTACGAAAACAAGTAGTATTTGACTTACTTGTTTGTATCAAAATGAGCTTGGGTGTAACAAGAGAAAAAGAGAGGGAGAGAGGGGGAAATGGAGAGAGAGAGAGAGAGAGAGATCGAGAGAGAGAGAGAGAGAGACGTACAGGACTGGTGATAACTTTGGACGCATTGACCACATCTTCTGCTCATATGTGGATCATAGCTGACACAATCCTGGTACATCCTTAAACAACAAGAAACACACATCACTGAATGTATACATTCTGAATATGATTAATTAATTAATTAATTTATTTATTTATTTACCTTTTTAAGTATTTGCATGAATACCTTCACAAATACCTTTTCACGTTCAGTTGGACAGTAAGAAAAATTGTATCATATGGCAATATAGTACGTAACAACGAAGAGACTCGATTGGCGCAGAGAATCTGCACTTAGAATGCATATTTAACCTTAACCGCGCACCTAATAAATGTAGAGAGAGTTGTGATAAAGAATATGCATTTTTCCTTTGCAGCTGAGTTCGTCAGTTTAAAACAATGCACAATGAACTGCCGCGAAAATGCATACTAGCAAATGCTGTCATTTGCCCTACGCCTAGTGGTACCGTAGACAGCGAAATGATGAAGTGGTAAGAACTCAGATGTTTTATATCTTATTTGGGAACCTTTATATTATTATTTACTATTGTTTACATAAAGCTTAATCTACTGACGAACGTAATGTTATACTTGTAATAAACAAGAAGCAACTCACTGACTGCAGACGGCCAGGCCCACCACACACAGCAACAAAGCGATCTTCAACATCTTAACTCTGATTTGTCTTGCAAGGAAGCACTCACGACGTTCTACGGTCCCTGAAAGGCGGAGTAACTTCACCGTGGAGCGCTGGTTCTTTTATAGGCACTAGCCTGGCAACGTTGCAGCGTGCCTGAGCACGCGTTGTCTTGAAGATATTCCCAATGTCTACATAATACGTATCTTGAAGCTACGCGTTAAGAGAATACCATATTTATTGTCCAAGAGTGACTCAAGGGCATTTTTCACACTATTAAATATAACTTAAAGATGTAGATCAGAGGACTTTTAGAACAATGATGACGGGTCAAATCATCAAATACAACTAAAGTGTGGGTGACATTTGTTTTCAGGTATTTTTCTTCAGGTTTTAGGTTCTGGGGGGGGGGGGGGGGGGGGACGCTGAACGCTTTCAAACATGTTACTGTTGAGTTATCTGGATGGCGCTTCTTGTTAAATGCTCCCCTGATTGTTCCACAGACGCTGAGAACATACGTTAAGTTGCCATTGTGCCTTAAGGTTAAGGAAACGACAAGAGAAAACGTTGTTCCTCCTCAAACGATATCGTGTGTTACAAGAAAAGAGCTACTGGCAGGGGCATCAATGTTCAGAGGACACGTGCCACATTTCCCTCGGTTATGGGATTGATCAAATCTCACTTTTACATAAAAGAAGACAAGAACCATTCATATGTCATGGTTACTACTTGTGTTTGTGGGATTTCCTATTATACTCTGTACTTTCCCACTCTCACCCCTCCCCTCACACAAACACACGCGCACACGCGCACACACACACACACATACACACGCACATGCACAAACGCATGCGGACATACGTACAAATACACAAACGCACCTCCATGCACACGTACTTACATACACAAGCACAAGCAAACACGCACGCACACACACGCACGCATACGTACAAACACACAAACGCTCACTCACACACATAGGTGTGTGACAATTTATCGTAGTTCGAATTAGATCAAGTCATTTTTACATTAAATATCTGTTTGAGAATCTACTTCAATAATGCAAGCGTTTGTAGTTAATTGTTACCATTTAAAAGTGAAGATAAGTATCAGTTCTTCTAATCTTCGTATTTAGTGGGGAATATTCCCCTCCCCTCCAACAACCCTACCCCACCCCTTTCCGCCCCCGGAACCGAACATAAAACTCGCATCTTATGGAGAAAGTACCAGCCACGGGGCTTAACGTCTGCAGAAACGTACAAAAACACGGTCACCGTGTCTTCAATCCCATTAACATTATATAATGCAAATCATTAAGTGGCGAGTTTTAACGCGTTGTTAATAATAAGCCATAAAACAAACCCCTACATATATTTAGCTCTTAGGTAGCGTTCAGACGGAAGAGAAGATACACGCAGGTCAAAATCAATGATTTAATGTCATTGGAACGCAGACGACTGTCATAACGCACCCGATGACCTGCGCCTGAGTGTAAGTTTTTATAACTTTATAAGTACTTTAATGTGATGCTTCTTTTATGAATGACGGCGCTTTGAAATAGCAATAAAATTGAAAAGATGAAATAATAATAAGCAACACTGACGTATGGGAGTGTTTAGTCGCGTTGTAGAAATTCCGTAAAAAAAAATTAATTGCTCAGTAACTATTAAAAGTACAGGCTATTGTTTTTCCTCAGATATCAAGTTATGATACATCAAGAGATTCTCTAAGGAAAGAAAGATTGTTGTCAACCAATGAATTACCATGGCATTAACAATAGCAAAAGACGGAGGAGGTTCCGAGACAAGAAAACATGTTTTTGTATCTAGATTTTTAATGCCTTGGGAGAAAATAGTTTTTTTTTTTCAAATGGATGTTTCTTCAAGACGTTCACAACCTTTTACTCGAATGTTATGTCACATATTTTCCAAAATCTCCCTTCAAGGGAATTCCGAGGAAGAGAGGACACCAGGGCCACCTTCACGACAACGCCCCTAGCTGGCGGTGGTGGAAATTTCAAAGTAAGGGATTTATGGCCCTCTGTGACACCAGGGGCTACTTAAATAGTATACACAATGAATGTGTAAGCCATTCTATTTTTCTTTAATAGACTATTGGCGCATGACGTACAAAGATAGTATATTTAGACATTTACTACAGTGCCTCCTCCAATGAGACTACGCCTTATTCGGCGTTTGTTTAATAGTTAACAACTTAACTCAAAAAGCCATGGGCGGATTTTTATTTAAAAGAATTCAGATAGGTCAGAAAAGGTCTCATTTAGAAGATGATATTTTGATGTTGAGCTTTAATAATAAAAATGATGAGATGAGACCCCGGTTTTAGAAAAAAAACTTAAGTCGGGTTCCCTAGATCGTAATTAAGATCGTAATTACCAACGTTACATGGTCACTCGTGTCTTCCAGAACTTAACAAAACGACGAGTTATGGTGCCAAAGTTAGGTGCACAAATCAGAATATTATAGCCTGCAAGGAGAAAGAAGCCTTTTTGTAGTCAGCTACAGTCTCTGCACATCGATCAGGGTTGTGAATGACGTGTCCATAAAACGATATGGGTCATCCTTGATACTACTTAAAGATACCACGGTTCATCACTCGTACCTCGTTGCTCACAAATTAAAAATAACAAATTAAAAATGATAAATTAACAATAACAAATTAAAAATAACTGATGTTCACGAAGGCCGATCGAGTTGAACGTTTTGTACCTCAGGGTCTTAAGTTTTGACCAGCAACACATGTTGGTTATAGTCGTTAAAGTCAGTCTTTAACGGTTTCTTTACGCTAGGGGATTTACTGCTGAAAATGAACTGTTGTTAACCTTTTTGACACCGCTCTATGTAACTTGTATGGTGTCATTTGGCGGGTACTCTGATGGCAGTAGACTTTGTTACATTATTTCATTATTTCTGTAAACGTATGGCATTTATTTGCTGTGTGTTAAAGCCTTGGATCGGACCCCTGCGCAGTATGGATCTATTGGGAGATGCACATTTTTACCTGCAGCATATTAAGCTATAAAAGGGGCACTAAGCGGCCTTCAATACTGTCGCTGCTCAATCTGGGTGACTGTGTGTTTACTTTCAATGTAGTGGAATTGTACAAACCAGGGGAACATTTTAGGGAACATTTCCTGATTTCGGTGGATCGGTAACGTTTCCGGTGTGTTGTTGATTTATACTATAGCTGGGGTACGTTTTTGTCCTTAAAAATACACTACGCATGGACATACAGAAGGTCATTCCTATCGCTTCTATCTTTGCCCTGTCCCTCTTCATTTTAATAATCTTCCCTTGAACATTTTAATGTTAAAACACTAATTTTCCTTACCGTCCATTCGCTCGATGGTCTCTTAAGGAAACCTTGGCTTTAATCGCATATGTTCCCATTAAAAAGAAACATGTTACTTATTGCGATTTTATTCATATTTTAATACGGGACTTGGCAAGCTCTATTAAGAACTACTGTAGTTTTATATTTTCGTTGTTCCCACCGCTGTGATGGTGTCAAATTTAGAATTACACGCACCAGTCTCTTGTGGAACTTAAATGGGGGTATTTTAGTTTTGAAAAGAAAAGGTCAGGAAATATATATCTCGTCCGAGAAATCCAACGATTCTACCTTCCATCCGAGTAAGCTCTCACTGAATGTCACTGTAGTTTTGCATTCGTGGTTACCAATAAAAATGTCCCCCAACAACGCGATGTCGCCAAAGGGTGACTTCGTTTACATCGGTAACACACTGTACTTCGCCAGCCAGCAGCAGAGAACGGGGTACCATTGAAATTTTTGACATTAACGATTCTTTTTGATTTTCACACCGTTCTGTCAGCCATTCATAAACGGAAGCGGAAGCTTTTTCCATTACAACTAGAGTTAGTCAAGCTTAAACTAGAATTTCTTATTGAGCTTTTGGTAAGGTAAATGTTTCTTTTTTAACTAAATCAGTACAAAGAATACTACACTCATTTTTTATTGACTCTTTTCTTCAGCATAGACGGTACAGGTACGTACCCCCATAATAAAAGGCACCCAATATTTCAGGCCACACTGGCATTTTGCTGCCCTCATAAAGCAGCACTCTTCCTGCATTCTTACCCAAGTTATCATATCTTAAATCCTAATATTCCTACTTTATCAGGTGACCCGAGTTAAGTAGACGGCGACATATGCCCTTTGCTGACCACTTGGTGTTAAAGGGATAATAACTCTTCATATTTATCTTTATTTCACAATAAAAACATTGTGAACAACTCATGGAAATATAATATATTCTGTTTTACCACAAAAACAGCAGTTTTATCTATTATTCTGATATCGGAGCGTGTCTTCAGATCACGTGACTTCTATTGATGGCTGTACTCTGTTATAATCTCTTAAGAGATTTTAACAAAAAACCAAACTTTTTAGAAAAAAAAACAGGGACTAACTTTGAATGTAAAAATGGATTCATTAACCATTGGTAAGTATGGGAAAATTGTTGTTTACTCCAGGAAAATTCATTTTTCGGCCAAAACGAAGAGTTATTATCCCTTTAAGCTTCATCTTGTGAGCAGAAGATAGGGGTTCCTATATTCAAGAAAATGCCCCACGCCAATAAAACATATGAAACTGACAACAACAAATACCAACAATCACGATATGAATACGTTTTATAAGGGAACATAATTCGCTCTAATGGATCCAACATTTTGTCAGGTGGGAGGGTGGGGTGCACCAGAATTTTGACATGGTTAATCTGTGTAGGATGCGGACAATTTTACTATTACTGTATGTGTACACGTAGGGCACGGTGAGGTAGAAGATGTTTGGTTTTCTCTCATTTTCGATCGTTATACTGTTTTTCTTTATTTCTTTATATTTTGAGCGAGAGAAAAGGGGGACAGATGTGCCTCAGAAGAGAGGGGGGGGCCTGTGCTCTGCCCTGGACCCACCACTTATATGTTAGCAGAAGTTTAAAAACTCGGGGTTCAGTCCTCCCCAAATGTATACAGTTTGCTAGACTGTCTACGTGACTAATCAACATGCTACTGATTGGTTGACTTGTGCGAAGCGTGTGAGCTACGATTGATCATAATTTGTCCCTCCTCTCTTTGATTTAATTTGACAAGCAAGCCGGTGCAGAATTGCGAATGGAAATCAAGCAATCTTAGCTTAAGGCGATCTTCCCATGCCCCTCTCGCCTTGGTGTCGTCTGCCAAATCAGAGTGCGTGTATACACAGCATTTTGCCCCAGGTGAACGCGAGAATTTGGCATAAACCGAAACAATACCTCAATGAGATAAAAGAGAACATATTGCCATAAAATAGAACGCAGAATTAATTGTATTGAGATCGTTTTGATGAGGATACACCGAACAATTATTTGTTTATTAGCTAAAAACTTGGTGGTTTTGAAATGAAAAGATTGGGCAATTTATTATTTAGAAGCTCGTCCTGACTACGAATGTAAAGTCTTTTTTAGAGAAGGACTGCATGTGATTGTGTAACTTCTTCCGTGGCATATAAAATGAGAAGAAGAAAAAGAAGACACAGACATTTTTTCACTTTAGCCTTGCGGAAGCAGCTTTATTTTTACTCATCATAAAACTTAATCGTTGTGTGAGGTGAAAATGGGAGATAAAAACCCAGCTCTACCTCCAAATTTTATACTCCACGGAGAACCAGGGCCGTTCACAGCAGAAGCAGCAGCAGCAGACAGCATCAAACGCACGCCATGAAGTTCCTCCTTGTCTTGGCTGCACTGTTCATCGCGTCCACCACCGCGTCGTACAACCATTGTAACCAGTACCACGATCAGTACATGTATAGCAAATGTCAGTACTGTGCAGAAACATACAGAGACCAATGTAAGTACAAAATACGTATATACGTGTATATCTGGGGTGTATAAGACGAAAAAAGTATTATGGGCCAGCTGAAGTAGGTCTACCCTCTGCCAGGGCCGCAGATATTATTGTGGACATTTTTTGCTGACTGAGCTCGAGAGCCAAATGACTTTCTATTTATCTATAGACATATATGTGAATATCTGTGGAAAAGAAATTTGTAGAGGGTAAAGTAGGTCTAGGGTACAGTACAATCCATGTAAGCAGAATGTTTATATATACGTGCATGTACATACCACCTGTTGTACTCATGTAGAATCTCACTGAAAAATAACAGACTTCTGACGAATTTGAAGCAATGAAAATTTAATGCTTTATACAGATACCCCTAAGATGGTTTTGCAAAGATGACGAGAAGGAGGAGTTGTCTGTATAAACTATTCAAAAATTTTATTACATTTCATCAAATTACTTGAAATGCTTTGTTCATATTGATTTCCTTATCATCTTCCAACCCCTGTAAACAATTTTCTGTGAATCACATTGGATACGTGACCTGCTTAGGTTTAGATCCATCCTCCCTCTTTCAACTTTAACTGTATTTATACGGCATCCAAGAATTTCGAGACAAGGAGACATACGGTTATTTATTTATTTATTTATTTATTTTTTCATTTATTTATTATTATTATTATTGTTGTTGTTTTTTGCTACCTGAGGCAAGTTATTAACATAATTTGTTATTCATTTATGATATCGATCACCTGAAATAAAAATTGCACACATCTACTCCATTGATGTTTATACACATGGACTACATAAGAGATCAAGGTTGATGCTGGAGGTGGGGGTGGCGTGGCGTAGGGGAGGGGGCAGGACAGGGAAATATACAACGGTAAACGAGCATGATTTTACTATTGATGTATGAATGCTTGACTGTGACTGTTTTCGTTCTTTTTTTTTAACAGTGCCTTTAACCACGTACAGATAATTAAATTCATGGAACAGGCAAATAAAGGACTCATTGCTTTTACCAGTGTTTCACGCCACCTATAATAGATTATTTTTCATTTTAGACGTGTGTCGTAGCCGTAAATCCCACTTCACTTACGACCCTTATGACGTGAACGTGCACAGCCCTCACGGCCGCCAGGGCTACGGCTACGGCTACAAAGTCAATGTGTACACAGATGGCGACTACTACGAGAACCACGACGACCCATCTTGCTTCTGGCAGTGCGACGAGTACGGTCAGGCATTTGCCAAGCCTTGTCCCTACGGACAGCGCTTTGACCGCTACGCCCGTGTTTGTGTCTCTGGTCCTGGGAACGTGCGTCATGGTAACAGTGGCTATGGCAACGTGCATGGTGGTTACCAAGGAAACAGCTATAATCCCCTCCAGAACAGCCATCCCTATCAAGGCTAATTCAGAGGTTAAACGCTGAATTGGAGGACAAACGTATATAGACGATATTATATCCATATTGCATAACTTTAATTTGTTTACTTTTGTTTTGAAAGTGCAGATCAAGTTAAATGGGATGACCAAACCTGTTTTTGATGGCAGGGGTATCAAAACTGAACAACCCATGTCAGCTCGGCTGTTTCCGTACACGCAGCACAGCGATGTCGATGGCATACGGAATTTCCCGACGTTTGTCGATAATGTTTGTCATATGAAACAAAAATACACTACTGTATAATTCCAATGAATAAATAATACGTGACCTTTTCGAGCTCAATTGCAGCGTCCATGTGTTTGATTTTACGGGATATTGGCTCTGATATTATGTTGAAAAATAAAGGAATCTGACCACAAGGGAGAGTTTAAGTTGGATTCACCTCTCTATAAGACTCATACAGTACAGACAATTGAGAGAGCATATAGCAAAAGTACATAGGTATGAAGAAGGATTGAGTCGGTCGATTTATATAATTTCTATTGATACATGCATTGAGCTTTATTATGATTTAACCTTTATTTTTGGTTTCAACATGATGACTTTGGAGACAGCTTTGTGAAACATTCAAATAAAACCGATGCTGACCACTTATATGATTCTCATCTCTCTCTATTAAGAGTCATCTCTGCTTTTGATTTTCATTCAAAACTCTGAATTTAGACCTTGTTATCCGATAATCACTGAATTTTATTTCGGTCCAAATTAATTATTTTCTGTCACTCGCCACTGTGGCCCTCTGGATGTCCTAATTTTATGAAATAGCGCATTAAATACCGACTCATAAGCACCATGCCCATCAATTCTAATTTAAAAAAAAGAAGAAAAATCGCATCAAGGTATGATTTTATTCTAAAAATAGAAATATACATCATTACCAATTACTGGGTAACTTAAAATAATAATTAATTAAATAAAATAAATATATCTTAAAATATATAACACCAGAACGGTCTTGTACTCATTTATACAGTGTACTAAGCTAAGAATAACTGAAATGTTTATAAATGATACAGAGTCATCAACAGAAAATCGACGCTTTACCTATTTCTACTTTTTTTTCATTTCATTGGGGTAACCCGCGTCAATATATAAGTACAGGCACATATACACACGTATAATATAGAGTGGTGGATTTAGAGGGGGGGTCTTGACGCCACTTCGATTTCTGGTCTCCTCTTGAAATTTACTAGCTTACTCTCTTGATTTTTACTAGCTGAATTATAGTTTTAAACCGTACCAAATGGCAACGTTTGCCCTCTAAAATACCCAATTTTTTCTGGGGCCCTTCAGCGGGACCCGAACCCCACGCCAAATGGTGGGTGGGTGGGGGGGTGGGGGGGAGTCGGCATTGCATCTGCGGACCCGCCTTCAAATAATCCTAGACCCGCCCCTGATATAGACTTAATACTTAATGGGCAACTCGTTAAAAATAAAAGTTTACACCACTGTCACAAATATCTTTTGTTAACTGAGATTATTTGTTTGTTTGTTTTTTCTGACATGGTTTACTCATGTAACCAACAACTTATCCATGTGTCGACTAATTCATGTGAAAAATTTACAAAAAAAAAAAAAAAAAAAAAAAAACTACAATAGCAAGGAAAAGTCATTGATGTCGGCCTCCTGTCAAGGCCCGGTCAAATTTAACAAAGACAGAATGGATATAATGTACAATATAATAGTGAAAGGGATAACAGCAGTGTTTAAGTTAACCATATTTCACAATTAATGCATGGTAAACAGCCCACTAAAATACAATAAATTCCACTTTACCACCAAAAACAGTGCTTAAATCAATTATTCCGGAATTTGTGCTCGCTATCACATCACGTGACCTCCCTAGATGGCCACACTCTGTAATCTCTTAAGACAATATTACAGAAAACCAAACTTTTTAGAAAAAAAAAACAGGAGCTTACTTTGAACGTGGGAATGGATTCATTAAGCATTGGTAAGTATGGGAAATTTGCCTTTCACTCCCAAAAAATTCATTTTTGGCCACAGATTTTATCCCTTTAATAATTATTTAAATAGTGAATGAAAATAACTTTATAAAGGCGGGGGGAGGGGGGGCTACATAGATAAATCATCACAATCGGGTGCAGCTAAATCTATATATAAATAAAACAGAATAATATCTACAGGATATTTTTAGTGTCAGTGTCAAAACAGACCACATTGCATTAGTTGTGCCACATGCAATGTTTACAATATGCAGTGGAAGGGCAAGGTCGTGCGATACTTTCTAATAAAATGGCTGACTAGACACGTTTAGCAGATCCTGTCAACAGCAATGTAGATTTTTTTTCGTCTATTTAAAAGGTATGTTTTAGTAAAATAAAAGATAATTTGTCTCTCACGGAGAGTGCATGGGTTCTGTTTGTAGCGGGCGTGATGTCAACTTTGATAAATCTGTTATTTAAACAATTGATTAACTATCACTCAGAGCATCAAAAGCAAACACACCTAGAGCTTCTAAAATTATCTCTCTAATCATTCTACGCCTGTGAAACCTCATAAGATTTACTGCCAAACCAAGCAGGTTCTCAAATTTGTGATGATTTAACAGCATGATAGCACATTTATCCCACCTATTTCGAGCGGACAACTTTATCCTCTGGATAAGCTGACTTATCCCCTGGATAATGCTATCCACTGTTGATGGAACGCACTATCCTCTGGATAGCTCTATCCAGAGGATGGCTGCCATTTTTAATCCATAAGATATCGCTATCCAGCCTTTATGAAACCGGGCCCTTGTGTGCAGTTTGTTTTTGTAAGTATTGTTTTTTTAATAGTATTAGTAAATTCTAAGTTCCCTTATTGAGCGTAAGTGCGTCATTTATTCAGTTTTGATGGTCCTAATGATCCAACCGACTTTTTATGGTAATAAAGGAACAATTGGTGAAAGCGCCAATAAATTCCAACTTTGCAGTATAAAGATATAAAACCCAATGTAGCGGCCAATAAACGGCATCAACACATCAGCAGTTAGAGGTTGGAGTAACGTCCAATGAACGACATTAACACATCAGCAGTGTCAGAGTAACTTCCAATAAACTACAATAGCACATCATCAGCTTCAGTTCAGGATAACGTCCAGTGTACGGCTTAAACAGATCAGCAGTTGAAGTCCGGGGGCACACACATTGTCCTAGTGTGACACCAGATCCCTCCAGACGAACAGGAATTCTGGACCGGCGTGTTCCCGTTACACAGGCAGTACGTGTCCACTGTGGGCCCCCGTAGATACTGGCCGTGATAGGAACAGGTCTGCTGGGAGCACGGGGGACCTGGGGTGGGATAATAATAATAATAATAATAATAATAATAATAATAATAATAATAATAATAATAATTGAAATGTGGAGTAAAATCAACACGATGTCTAGAAAAGAACATTTAGACAATTCTGGTTGATAAGTGGTCACAACTATATTGGAATGGTTATGAATCTAGATAAATCACATTTACTTTCAAATGAAATTCATGCCAAAGCGAAATAAATCTGATAAGTTTGTGAAAGGGCGGGAAATTATAATTAAAAAAAAAAAAAAAAGATGTTGGCTCTATGGGTTAAAAAAACTAAATGTCTTTTATCAAATAATCACATTTCACCACACACAATATACACATAACATTATCACGTGACGTCTACGTAATTGATATTAAGCCCCATTTTACACTGGAATACGACCTCTGTTCGTCTTTTCTACGACCCCAAATGTGGCCAGAACGCTCAATGGTCGCCAAAGCAAGAAAATCTTGTTTCAGTATATATTTTTCCGTGATCATTTTGTGTTTTTGAACGACCAATTCTAAATTTTTCCTGTAAAACTACCAGCGACCTAGGCGGTCCTCGTCCTTTCTTCTTCCACTGAGCGATCTTGAAGCGACCAACATCCACGGCATTCTTTGTGCGATTGTTTTAAACATGTTCAAGACTTTGTGGCGACCATGGCGTTACCGGCGATGCATGACCGTTCTCTGTGCGATCATAGAGGTCACCGTGCCTTCTTTGAGCGTCCAACAGCGACCTGGCCAGTTTCATGGTCGTCAACAGATGCACAAGGGACCCCGTCCAGTGTAAAAGGGTGTAAATCAAACATTTGTTAATACTTACGTAAAGTTGCTGGTGCCGTGGTGGTAGTGGTTGTGGTGGGCGTGGTGGTTGTGGTGGGCGTTGTAGTGGTTGTGGTGGGCGTTGTGGTGGTTGTGGTGGGCGTGTTGGTTGTTATGGGCGTGTTGGTTGTGGTAGGTGTGTCGGTCGTTATGGGCGTGTTGGTTGTTATGGGTGTGTTGGTTGTGGTAGGTGTGTCGGTTGTTATGGGCGCGGTAGTTGTGGTAGGCGTGTTGGTTGTTATGGGCGTGGTGGTTCTGGTAGGTGTATCGGTTGTTATGGGCGTGTCGGTTGTAATGGGCGTGTTGGTTGTTATGGGGTTGGTGGTTGTGGTAGGCGTGTTAGTTGTAATGGGCGTGTTGGTTGTTATGGGCGTGGTGGTTGTGGAAGGCGTTGTAGTGGTTGTGGTGGGCGTCATGGTAGTAGTGGTGGGCACTGTGTTGGAGCTTGTAGTTAGAATTGCTGCTGCTATATAATTTGACTCAGTGCGGCCCTAAAATGCAAAAAAGTTAGTTTTATTGAATATACATCTGGACCTTTGAGATAGCCTTAACTCATTTCCTAGTGATAAATATCTGGCTGACCGTCATTGTTTTGATCCCAATGGGTGAAATGCCGCAAAAATATATCTCTTGATTCTTGGACGATATATCGCGGCATTTTGCGAGGGTTTGGGTTTTCTCGGCTGCAGTATATTGCGATCATAATAGCAGAAAAATATTTAACGGACCATTCCCACAGATATTTGGATCGATCTCCCTGAGATCTCCCTGGGGAGACTCAATTTATAACTGTTAACTTGACCGGTTTAAGTGTCTGTCACTCCTAGTAAAGCTGTTAGGGGGAATTATCTTTACCCTAGCTGATTCGCATGGGAACCCAGTCTTATTGTTTACTCAGTCCTTGCCCCAAAAAAATTGCATTCATACATCTATTTCGTCTATCCCATTAATAATATTATATTCCCGTTCACGTTATTGCAATCCCTCCTTTATATAATAAAAAGTAGATAACACATATCTTTCAAAAAAAACTTTATGTTGCAATTTCTTTCTCTTTCTCTCTCTCTTTCTCTCTCTCGTTCAAACTAAAATGGCAAAAACAGAAAAGATAACGATTTTCTTACCGATGTGTAGTAGACGCAGTTTTCTCCCATCGTTGATGAGCTTTTATCAAGCATCTGAGACGACATCTCACACTTTCCTGTTGTCTCGTCAAAGGCTACAGAGACGCAGGCGGGGAGATTAATGCACTCTTTAACGCAGCACAATTTGCACCCTGCATCAACATCGGCATACTGCACAGAAAGGTCGTAATAATCCAGATTCCGTGGACATATTTTCTTAGGTTGTTTTTTGAAGGTGACACACTTGTCGCATGTCTTAACCTGGTTGAAATGTCCTATAACTGTTAACACCACGAAAATGTATCCGATTCTTGCCATCGTGTTCTTTGTGTAAATTCTTCACCGATTTTACAAAGGCAATATGTTTTTAAAATTTCCTCTTACACTGTGTCCTCGCCTTTTAAAGAGGAAAACCCACGTTTTTACAATCGGCTAGATGATTTGGCTATTTCCTAATGACATTTACTAGGATTGCTTTTACATGGACGTGTAGTTTTACAGCTGGTATTAAATGTTCACTGTTTTAATACATCCACATGAAGCCTTTCTCATACGCAGTTCAGGGAAGCGTCTGTAAACCTAAATTTAACGCCCAAGCATGAACTGTTCTCTATGTCTAGTTAAACGGCACTGAAATCTGTTGCCCCCATTTAATCCTTGGGTGATGATGCTGACAGGTTTGAACAACTCAGAGTAAATAACAAATCAATGTAGTAAATTGTTTCAGGTGATCACTTCCCGCCGTATTCGTGCATTCTGTGTATTTACATTTTTTACCGCAATGTATTTGTCCGGAAGCCGCCTTCGAGGCAAACAAGCGAGTAAATAAGCGAATGTGTAAACATGCGAGTGTGAGCTCCAATTTTGAGCACCACCAACCTTAACCCTCAAGTGACCGAGTGGGGTCATTTACGACCCCAACCATATGATTTAATGTGCCGTCTCTTTATTTTTTATTCGAATTTTATTTCCTTGCATGAGTTTGTCAGTCTACTAATCCTACACACTTTCATAGTTTTTTGTAGGGATCAATCAATTAGTATGGCGTATACATCACAAACTCTTGTGGGGTCATTTATGACCCCAAAGAGAAGCATTGGCTTTTAAATATTAGTTTTTAAATTTTATTCAAATGTTTTGCCCAAGCAACACTGACAGGGAAATGTCACATGCACGTGTTCATGCAACCAGCCAGTGTGCCCAAAACATAGGCACAAATAAGTGGTTTGTGAAGATTGTGCTTGAAGTGTTACTAACAGTGCATCGCTGAATCTAATTTCAGTAGCTTTGTTGGAACGTGTTCTCATAATTGGGTCTCTCATTACAATTTTCGGGTATTTTGGAAATCTAAAGAATTCTGTCAACATCATATTATACATATATTAACAAATTGTTTGTGTGGATTTTGTTTTATACACAGATGTGGTAGTAACATACATGTAGGTTGATTGAATGTGTTCTGAGTAGTATGACTTCCTTACCAGCATTAGGGTATTCCCTACTCAGCAAGTCAGCTAATTGTTCTTATTGAAGTAAGCAGGACATAAATCAAAATATTTTTACTCAAAGTAATTTTGTAATGTACTTTTTATGTACAGACACAGATGTTTAATTTAATTTTTCACATATTGGCATTTTCAAGGTGTGACTTTAAAGTTCCATGATCTTGAAGACTTTTGCTTGTCACATTTTCTGAATGTCCATGTTACTAATATTTTATTAATAACATTTGATTGTCATTATGCTGTTAAACATTATGTAATGTTGCATCAAAATTTGAAGAAACCCCTATTTTTGGCACTGCTCCTATGATGACCATTTAAGGGAAATCATGTCACTTACTGTTCTCAAACTTACAGGAAAGAAACATGGGTCTAACATACAGCTTCAATAGGCAACGCAGTCTGTTTGGTAAATTTTTCTGGCAATTTAACAGTTTTTTGTGAAAATTTAATTTTTCACTTATTTGCATCTTTATTTTCTGTTCTTTGTCTGTGCATTTGACAGCTTTGCTGCCTTGTTTCATTTACTGTGGCAAATAAAAAGAGAAATATTTCTGCAAGTAGAAACTGACAAGGACTGTCTAAATATCGGTGTAATGTTGTTCTTAAAATCTGTGCTTGGTTATTTCATGCAATAAAAGTATTATTACCAAATACTTATTACATTAGATCATTATAAAATACTTATCTTAAATCCTGGGAGTAGTATGGGTGTGATAAAGCCTCAACAGCTTTTTATAATAAGGATCCCTGTACAGAGCACAATGGGGTCATAGATGACCCCACTTGGTCATTTCAGTCAGTAAAATAGCTTGGTCTAAGAAGGGAAAATACCAAACAGAAAGTCTGTCCCTTTATTCTTTCTCCTCTCCTAGCAGAGATAGTTGCGTTATTTGTTGTGCAATGAAGCTGTTGTTTTGGATAACTGTTACTAGTAATATTTAGTCTACCTTTGATTTATTATTTATTTATGTATTTATTTTATTTTATTTTATTTTTGCGAATTCGTGGAAATAACCTCGTGTTGAGCACGGCTTGCTAAAAAAAAATTTAAAAAAGAGACGAAGGAGCTTATCGACTCCCAGGTTTGTTTACAGAGGCTTTTATTTGTGCTTCCACCAACCAAGGCAGGGCAACCCCCATTCCTACCCAATATGCTACACCCGCAGGCTCTAACATCCGCTTTGGAAGAATTCACGCGCAAGGTGAGAATCATGACATTGACGCGATATGTCATATTTTAAGCACCCTGTGTTTCCGAGATTATTTGAAAGCTCATCTCTATGTTAGCTTACCCCAGTGTAATACGGGGTACACTGTCATTGAAGGGTAATTTCCGATGATTTTCGAACCGTGAGGTGCTAAATATTAATCTTGTATTGATTTATATATTATATATTACAGTCTATATTTTGCCGATAGATTTATTCTACCACCTGCAGCTTGGTTTGTGCATGGACCCCACCGTATTCCATTTCCTTTTGTCGATTATAGACTTCATTAAACCGAAACAAGATGAAGATAAACCCATTCCAGCCGGAGTCAAAGACTAACCACACACCCTGTTAATGACACGTAGAAAGAGAAGCCTTCAACAGGTGCGGGAAGTCTCGCGTGGCACATGAATTAAACATTTTATACAAACAAGGTTTTATACTTTTTCATGCGTCAATGAACTGACAAGCTCGTTCAGGTCTTTGATTGAGTTACTGTATACGTTAATCCATAGTTTTGTTAAGTGTGGGTTTTGAGTGAAAATCAATTAGGTATACTGCAATGTCATGCAGACAGAAAATAAGATCCCACTTACACTTTCAAGAATTTCTAGAGGACAAACCGATTATCCGCTTTACCAAACTGTAGTCTATAAAATGTAATGTTTAAACATGTTATGGTCAAGGTTGTACACAACTGCAGCACCTCCTACCATAGAATTGGTTCCTATTAACTTTATCTCCAATTTTGATTTAAAAAATGATCAATTTAGTGTGGACAGAATAAGGGAATAAAATGCACCAGAATCTCGTAAATGTTCACTTTAAATGTTCACTCCATGGTAATTTTCCCGCCAAGGTGAATTAAAGACAATCTCTCCTCGCGTTGAAAATGAATCCCACTCAGTCATATTGACGTCCTTTTGAGCTTCTGATATTTCCCAATTCAGTCTCATTATACACTTAAACCCTTTGGATATAAGTTTATCTGAAGCGTACTTTGTGGCGTTATAATATTTTAAGCCTCCTTCAAGGACCTTGGGTAGCCATCGCCAGCTTGCAGCATCTGTATTATTCACGTGCTGGGCCTTGTTATATAACACCCCGCCATTTTCTTGTGTGAAAACGAGGCAATGCACGTGACGGCAGATGTCGTTACTTAGACCGGTCAGTCATTTTAAACTAGAGTATTAAATTTAAAATGGAATAAAACATCCAATCCAAATGAAGGGACGGGTCAAGTTGTATAATTAGGGAGTAACAAAAAGTGCTCTTTTCCGCAGGGGAAATGATTTGTACTGGAAAACACCAAGAAGTGTTCCTTTAAGCTAGATCAATGCTGCTTTAAAAATTAGTTATCATTTTATACAGAGTATATTTTTTGTTCTGAAAGCTTTTAATGGTCTACATTAAAAGTGTGTATCCAGGCAGACGAGATGGGTTCATAGTCCTCAAGAGGGATACCCCATGATTCATGAAATGGAGAACGACTGTCAGAAAGATGTGAGAGAAACTGCGTGCAGCTTTGTCAAATTATGTTTGTAGATAATAGAGCGAATAGCAGGACAATGTAACAATATCAAGCAGGCTTCTTTCAATTTCTAGTTATTTTCAATTAATCATTTCTCTGAAACCTCTTAATCCTGACTGACGTAACTGGCAACATCTGGGAAGTTGATCTAAATAAGTAAAAGACAATTTCTGACAAACATTTGACAAAACCCTTACCGAAAATGCGCTCGTTTATCATGTTAATACCGCCATTGTATAACCTAGACCGCATTCAGAACAGCAAATTTATAGATTCGTGAATCAAATATGGCGACCCCCCAAATAGCTTGCCACTTAATTCCCGATAAGACACTGAATAAATTCCTGACGGGGATTACGCAACAAGCATTCAAGTGGGTACGCTATATTTGATCCGCGGATCTTTTTGTCCGCTGTTCTGAATGTGTTCCTAGAAGTTTACGCCACATCCAGCACATATAAGTCCTACTGGTAGATCGGGCAGGTGTTGAGATGGTCATAATTTGGTGGAAGCTCTCTCAAAAGTTTTTTTTTTTTTTTTATGCCATCACAGGTGAGTATTTTCAAAATAAATTCATACTGCATAACATTGGACTCGAAAGAATTAAGTATAACAAAAAAAAAAAAAAAAAAAAAGAGAGAGAAATAAAACAGCTATGTCTCTATAGACAACAGGTCTAAAATATCTTTCTTAATTTCCTGCTTTTTTTGCAATTAATTGATTCCCCTTTGTCTTGAACTTTTTTACTTTAGTATCAAAGAAAACATCTGAAAAAGCCAAACATTTTTCAAATCAATATGTTGATATAAAAAAGCGGGCCAAATGTTGATATGGGCCTATTGTGTGAACTATTGTGGATAGAAATCTTTGGGTTAAATATTTGCCAAAGTCAAATTGATCACATTCATTTGTAAAACAAGAGTTTATTCGATACCCACCGCTAATTACAAGAAAACTGCACGGAACGTGCAGATGGGATTTTGGTCTAGAACGAACCATATGGATTTTCATTAGGATCATGTTTCTTGTCTTTATGTATAAAAGTCCAAAGTTTTGTTAGTCATAAGGACA